CATGACTCCTGGAGATGTTCTGAGCGAGCAGTCGTAGACGTTCTATTAATGCAGTCCACCTTGCTAACATACCCAGACCACCTCATGGTGCATTCTGGGATATCTTCAGCCCTTTACCTGCTCTTAGCTAATTACTTTTTAGGCCCGCACTCGCACAGTAATTGGTGTTGTGCTGCTGCCTCCCCTCTCTCTGCTGTGCCAAGTGCTAGTTTGAGCACTTTTTTTCTCCTTCTCCTCTCTATCGTCCTTATTCCCCTGTTTTTTATCGTCCTCCAAAAGCCATCCAATTAATATGCTAATGAGCTGATAAATATTTATAGGGGTTTAAATTATGCAGAAAGCTTTCAGAGCCCGGTGTGAAATGCGTTGCTCGCAGGACTTCAAAGCCTTGCATTGCTAACGAGGCAGGGGCAGATTTGCATACGGCTTTAATCAGCTGAATACTGATTATGCTTCATTATAGAGTTGGAGGAGGAAGGGTGGGGGGGCGGCAGCAGAGTTGGAGGAGGCCGCCAGCTGCACTTGTCGTTTGTTTCATTCCAGCAAGAGAGGGAGAGGGCGAACTTTTTCAGAAGTACAGACAATCTTGGCACACGGGAGAGGGGGAGCGGTAGAGAGAGAGTGCACAGTAGGCACAGTAAAAGGGGCAGAGCCATACGAAAAGAAAAGCGCGAGCAGGGAAAGGCACGGAGAGCTGTTTGCCTAAACCCCGTTGGCTCTCTCAGTGCGCGTATCCCAGTGTTGCTCAGTGAACCGTGCGGTGGACACTGCCACTGTGTCTGTGTGTAACTCTGGTTGTATTGAACTCTGCTCACTGCTGACCAGTGGAGAGTGAAGAGAGGAGGAGGAGGTGGGAGAGCGCCGGACACCCTGTCGGTGGGCTTGCCCAGCCCAGGCAGTTTTACTTGATAGGTTCAGCAGCCATGCTGGAAAACGCAGGTGGAGCAAGAGCGGGTGAGTTTTTTGGTGAGGTTGTAACAGAGCTCACCTGGACTGCACTGGTGGTTGATGTCATTGTGTGATTATGTTGCATTAAGACCTCATGAATCTGCTGCTGGGATTTTGTTTTTTTTGTTGTTTTTTTTCTGTTAGTTTGTTGGAGATTAGTATTGTTCAGTGCTTGCTGCTTTAAATGATGAATGCGACTGAAATGCTATTGTTCATTAAGAATATCCTGACGTGCAGTGATGGTTGTACTCAGATGACAAAAGTGAAAGTACGCCTGAAATCAGAGAATAGGTTCTTCTGTTTGGCGGCAGTGCCTGTGAGCATGTCTCTGTCTGGCTCTTTCAGATGCTAAAGTGAATAATCAGTCAGAAACTACTAAATGTGCAATGGAGAGTGGTGACGGGAACACCGGTGAGTGATCTCCAGCTTTTTCTCCCGTTATCTTCATTTTTAAATCAGAATGTGTTTAGTTTTACCACCTCATTCAACAGGTTTCAGAGTCATAGCCAGCAATTATTTGGACATTTTAGCAGCTCAAGTCACAGAAATCCCCCCCTGCTGTTTCTCTTTGTATGATCTCATTTTGAAAACATAGATGGCAGCTTTCCAAAAATGCTTGCTAGCAGCTCTCTTTGTCATATGAGGCATTTACCTCACAGTGCATTATGTCTGAATATTACACGCTTAGAGTGAAGATCCAGATTCATTGCACAGCTTTGTACTCCTGCTGGGTAATGACACATTAATTGATGTTGTTGACAGTCTTGTTTGTTTATGCTCTTAAAATATATAATTTTGTTAGCTAGTACAGATGCTGCCACTTTATAAAAATATGTTTTTAGAGTTTTTCCTCGTATTTGAAAATGGATTCTTCTTCTCTTGTCAGTGATTTCTTCTTTTTTCTTTTTTAATTTGTTTTTTTTGTTGTTGTTGTGTTTTTTTTTGTTTGTTTTTTGTTTGTTTTTTGTTTTTGTTTTTTACGGCATACGTTGTGTCAAACAGCACATGGCATAAATTCAAATTTTCTTTTCTCAGGTATCCAAACCAATGGGTTGGATTTTCAGAGGCAGACGGTGTCCACCACAAGTGCAATCACTAATGCACATGCACAAGCCCTCCTCCAACAGGTACCACACTGTGTACAACATTGCATACTTGACCTTTTTAAGTAACTTTTTGTTTTCCTGTTTTTGTGGTGGGAGCACGTTTGGTTTTGGTGTAATGTCACACATTTGTTGTAGCCTCGAAAATGAGGTGTGAAGTTTGAACAGAGGTATGCTCATCTTCACTCAAACATGCACAAGCAGAAAGAGTTCATTTAAATGAGCCAGGCTCTCCCAGTGTCGCCTGGCAACAAGGCAGATTAATCAACCCTGTATGCTAATTAGCTGCTCTGTGGTTGCTCGGAAACAGATGGCCGAGAATATGCAAATCTATGCAGAATTTACATGCACTGCATAACAGTTATTTTAATTAGCATCTCAACTCTCCCCTCCCTTCACTTCACTTTTCTTGTCTCTGAAGGCTGCAGCACATTTTAAATACCCACTTTATCGCTGCCTTTCTAATTCAAATTCCTCTCTGCGTTCAAAGACCAAAGACTCATTTAAAGAAAGCCACTCAGGTAGCATGGAAATAGAACGTTTCATTGTTTTCACTAGTATGCTTTTTTCTTTTTTTTTTCTTTTAATTTAGCGGTGCTTAATGTCTGAATTGAATATTCATTGAAATTGCTTTTAATTAATTTCATGTTGGCTACAATGACATGAAGTTAAAACTCAGAAGATCTCATCTAAGCCTCCCCCCCTCTGCTTCACCCCCACTAGTCAAAGTCGGAAGACTCGGGTGCTCTTCCGACCTCCGTCCAGCAGAGCGTATTGCCTCAAACCCAGCTAATGTTGGCCGGGGGACAGATTGCTGGAGTAAGTTAAAACCCTGGTTGTGTATCTTGGGGTGACACCCCCACACGGTCAATCACAGCTGGGTGACGAAACGATAACTTGGCTGAAGCTGGCGTCTTCTCTGCCTGTCTGCCTGTTCATCCCTGTGGTTAGACATAGTCTTTGTGTCTCTGCACTCGCCATTAAACCAGCCACATGACACATTTCATATCCAGCCATGGCCCAGGGATGGTTGAATGCAGCTGCAGTGAGATGTAGGATTGAATGTTTACTCAGCATGTGGATTTGAGTTTGAACATGACATCAACATGCTCATTTGCACTTGTGCCTGGCTCAGCTGCATGAGTCTCCATCTGCTTGTGGAGGACCATATGTGTGTTGCCACATTATTCAGTATAACTTTGATACCTCTGTTAAAAGCTAAGTGCAATACTGTTCATTAGTTTTCATAAACAGTCACTAGTTTGACATGGTAAATTTAAAATAATAATAAAAAAAACCTGTTTCAGTATCATTTGTAAAGGTGTATGAACACAAGTCGGTATAATTAGAATAGACAGAGCTGTGGTCTAGTTCAGTGAACTGGAGCAGCCACCGAAACAATAAAACAATTGTTGGCAAATGCATCAAACAATCCGATCAACCTGCTGCTGTTCATAAAGCCAGACCAAGGCACGGGTAATTAAAGTGCCTCTCTTATCATACATAATGATGAAAAACCAATATATCAAGACTCTAGTGAGTAATATTATGCACACATGAATTGGATTTCTCTAATATTTCACTGCAGTATTGTACTAGCTTTGGAAGGCTATCGAAGTAAAGTATAGTGACAACACTGACATACTTACTAACTTATCTGATGATCATAAGTTACTTGTATTAACACTTACGTGTCTCTCTGTTTTCCTCCTGTCTGCCTCAGTTGAGCCCAATGCAGCAGCAGCTGTTTCTCCAACAGGCCCAAGTGCAGCTCCTGGCTGCTGCCGTGCAGCATTCTGCCAACCAGCAGAACAGCACCACCGGGGACAACATCTCAGCCTCTGCAGCCACACCAATTACCCAGCTGCCCCTGTCACAGCCCATCCAGATTGCCCCAGTAAGGCTCAATCCCCTATGCGCCAGAGTTCCTGCAAGCTCTGAAAAATGTTGTACCATAAAGTGTTTGCAAGCTTGTAGCCCTACACAACACACAAAAAAGTAAAGCTGAACATCTTTCCACATACAAACAATAGACATGAAAAGTCTGTGGTGAAATTAAATATCACTATTGTTTTTTCAAACTGTATGAAGGCCATATTGGATTATTTGAAACTGCCTTTCTGGGAGCAAACAAGGCAACTAAAGAATGAGGAAAACATGCAAATGACCTAAATGACTCGAGCTTTCTCTCTTAGACAAAATGAACTGTTACAAACAAAATAGTCCTCAACATCTGTGGTAATGGCTTTGGCAAGGACGTTTATTCATCAAAGTAGTTGAGGACTGCACTTTAATAATGGAGCTTCTACACTTATAAATATATGGAGACACATTACACATAGCTTAATACATATTTGTTTGCTACCCTGTCAGAGCAATAGAAAAGTAGAGGTTGTACCAAATTGCACATGATTAGAATAAATGTAGACAATGTGGGACAATTTTACATGAAACAAAGTTGTGTCAAAGTCTTTAGGATTGTGAGCTTTATAAACAGTTAGATGGTTGTTTTCATATTTTTTGCAGTCTTTACAACAGCAGAATCTAAGTCTGCCCCAGTTTGTCCTGGTTCAGCCTGGCCACCCTATCGCCACGTCACTGCAGCCTCAGTTCATTATCTCACAGGCTCCGCAGGCCCAGCAGGGTAGGTTGATCTGTTGCACTGCAGAATTACAAGGAGAGATGTACTCCAAGTATGACTATCGAAGCTTTCCTTTCCTTTCCTTTCCTTTCCTTTCCATCCATCATCCCCACTTCAGGCATATTGCAAGCCCCGAGTCTTCTAACTCAACTACCTCAAAGCCAACCTAACCTCCTGTCGACTCAACCAAGCATCACCCTTGCAACTCAGGTTGGTAATGATGCAAGTACATCTTTTAAACTAGCTTTAAAATAGTCTTCAGCTACTCTGGTAGTGCTTACATTTGACAGCTTGACAAGTTTTTTTTAATGATTTATTCTCAATAATTTATTCTTTAACTCTTTTTAAACCTACAAAACAGTCACATTTGCTGTATTTCTCGTCTTTCCAGCCTGCAACCCCAACCCGCACAACAGCAACCACACCTATTCAGTCCCTGCCTCACAGTCAGACGCCACCCAAACGGTTGGATACTCCCACTCTGGAGGAACCTAGTGACCTTGAGGAGCTGGAGCAGTTTGCCAAGACTTTTAAACAGAGACGTATCAAACTGGGCTTTACGCAGGTGTGTGCTGAGAGTCAGTCGATCACTATAAGTTCAGTTATATTTTGACTTGCGGATGTGGGCATTTCTTTAAACTGCAAACACATGGCTTTTTTCATATTCAGATCTTTGTTCATGTAATATTATACCACTATAAATAACTCACAGGTAAATCTCTCCTTCTCACAGGGGGACGTTGGCCTGGCCATGGGGAAGCTGTATGGAAACGACTTTAGCCAAACTACTATTTCTCGCTTTGAGGCCTTGAATCTGAGCTTTAAAAACATGTGCAAACTCAAGCCATTGCTGGAGAAGTGGCTCAATGATGCAGGTTTGTCTCTGACCCCACCTGACTGTGCAGCTGATCACTCTTGTTTTCTCACATTGGTGCTTGTGGGTGGGTTGTGTATGCATACCTTGTCTTTACCTCCCTTCCTTTTCTTTGTGTCAATGCTGTTTGTGCAGAGAACCTGACATCTGACCAGTCCCTGTCGAGCCCCAGTGCCCTGGGTTCCCAGGGCATGGGCATAGAGGGAATCAACCGCAGACGGAAGAAAAGAACCAGTATCGAGACCAACATTCGAGTGGCCTTAGAAAAGAGCTTTCTGGAGGTGAGAAACACACACTTCGGAACTCCATATTGATTATATAAGGAAAAGTTTGGTTATTCAGAATCTGAGATGATCACATTATACACTTTTAGTCCTCCCTTAATGGTAGAAAAAACACAGTACAGCAGTTTCCTCAGTGCTGACAGGGAATCTCTGGCTTCTTTGCCCTCTTCAAGCAGAACCAAAAACCTACCTCTGAAGAGATCACCATGATCGCTGACCAGCTCAACATGGAGAAGGAGGTGATTCGGGTCTGGTTCTGCAATCGACGACAGAAAGAGAAGAGGATTAATCCTCCCAGTAGTGGCAACAGTGGAGGAGGCAACACCCCTATCAAATCTATCTTCACCCCCAGCAGCCCTTTGGTAAGACTGCCACTCACCAAAGGGATTCTCAGCACTGTTTAATACTGTGTTTAAAGTTTATGTGGATCACGTTAGGAGACTTAACTTAAAATATGGATGATGCATCTGGGTCTGAAATGTGAAGTCATTGTAGAAGTACCATAAGATTTCATCCTGTCTCTTGTCCTTTGTAGAACTCTACACGAAAAGAACTTCAGTAAATATTTGTCTAATAAGTTTATTCTTATAACTTATTTATTCCCTAGATTTCCGTCATGCATAACACAAAATAGTGTCCATATTGCAAATTTTAGACCCATTTGTAGTTAGAAAAAGCAGTGTGATTTTTAGAATTGTCCTGTTTCTCTGATCCACCTTTTGTTAAATCTAATTTTGGGATCATTCATCTTTTTATATGTACTGTCTCTGATTACATGGCAGGTCCTTATATGTTCTATGGGCTCAGCTAGAATATCAGAATGTCGACCGATTTGTCTTTCGACTTGTATTTAAATCCTCCAATTCTCCTTTTGCTCAGGTGGCCAGCACAGCAAGCCTTGATAGCAGCCCAACTATTACCACACCCACCACTCTGACTGTAAACCCAGTGATGCCTCTCACCAACACCAGCATCCCCAGTTTGTCTTTCACAGGTGTGTGCGTGCACTATTCACTTTGTGCATGTGTGTATACCCGATGGTAAATGTTGATTAAAAATTCACTTTAATTTCTTTTTATCTGCCTTCAACAAGGCACGACAGTTGGAGCCACAAACACTGCATCTGTCATCTCAACTGCGCCTGTGGTTACCACAGCAACAAGCTCTCTGTCTTTAAGCACGTCCCAGACGAGTAATCAGTCCACGAGCACGGAGAGCAAAGCTGGCACGCAGGCGCCAACCATTGTCACCCAGGCGCCTTCATCCATCGCTACCAGTTTAGGGACGGGTCAGGTGATGGTGGCAGCTCCGGGGCTTTCTGCCGCGTTGCAGGGAGCCGCCTCGCTACCCAGCGCCAGTTTTGCAGCTATGGCTGCTGCTGCAGGGCTCAACCCAGCACTGATGGCATCTTCGCAGTTTACTCAAGGGTTAGCATGAGCCGTGTTCATATAAGATCTTTGTGAAAGCCAGACAGTTGTTGAGGTGTTGTTTTTGTTATACTACATGATCTTCTTTGTGTGTCCAGGGGTGCCCTCTTCAGTCTGGCTCCTGGCGGCCTGGGCAGTGCACTGAGCCCTGCTCTCATGAGCAACAGCACTCTGGCTACCATTCAAGGTGAGCACCTGTTACATGACAAGTCATTGAATTATGTCTGTGCACATAGTTTCTAATCAGAATTGCAAGTAGTTATGTGATTATGAGGTTCCAGGACCTGCAGATAAGGACTGATTTTTGTAATGTACAACCCCAGATCCAAAAATATTGGGGAGCTTTGTAAAATGTAAATTAAAACGGAATACAATGATTTACAAATCTCATCAACCCACTTTAAAAAAAAAAAAAAAAAATTGTGTCAGCCACTGTACAGCCAAGATTTCACAGCACTGATCTACATATTCCTTTTCCTCTGATTTCCACTCCCTCAACGCTGTGAGGAGTACTGACGGCTGGTTCAGTCACACTCCCAGGACTACTACTTGACAAAGTTTCATTTTCTGACTATTGTTCATCTTTTAACAATAGTCAGTAAACATCTGGGAATTGAGAACAGTTGCTAGCTGCTTAGAAGTCCCTGGGTCATCGTGGTCCTATTTTTGTTTTTGTTGTGATTTCAAGATGTTTGCGATTGGGGTTTGTGGATGATTGCGGCGCCAGCTTAATTTAAATAACTTTATTGTGTTAAGTCATTTGTTTATTTAAATATCAGTTTGAGGTCATTGAGGGTGTGACAGGAAGTTATGACAAAGCAATGTTCACAAACTGTCAGAAGGTTATCTCTTTTGTTTCTTTTTAAATTGCAATAGTTTAAAATTTATATTATTTTGTTTTCTTTAACAAATATTTTTGGCCTGGGGGAACGTCTTAACGCCAAACGACCAAATTAGACTAAATTTAGCAGAAGGAATGACTCAATGAATACAATAGCTAAATAAGTTGGAGTATATAAATGATTGAAAGGATGATTAGAAAAAAATAAGGGCAATAAGACAGCCCATTATTTCTATAATTAGTGTAATGAAAGCAAACACTTAATGAGGACATGACTCATTTGCATAATAAGAACAGATTCATTTAAGCCACACCCACAAGGTTTTATCCTGCTTAGAGAAAATTACTTCTGCGAATTAAACAATTTATCGTGCGGTCTCAAAAAAATGATGATGGAAATGCTCTCCTCATTTGGTGAACCTGTGCACCTTTCTTACCTTTACACCGTTTCTTTCACATCTCCATAGCACTGGCATCGAGCGGCACAATCCCCATCACCTCTCTGGACGGCAGTAACCTGCTGTTCGCCAACACTTCTGCTGGTAACACCCACAACCTGGTGACCACGCCGCTCTTCCTGAACCCCCAGAACCTGTCGCTGCTCACCAGCAACCCCGTCAGTCTGGTGTCGCCCGGCGTGGGAGGGCTTCAGGTCACTGCCGACGGTCATCATCAAGTCAGCACGGCTGCTGTGCCTGTGCAAGCCTCGACCATTACCACTGCCCCCAAGGCTCAGTGAAGCCAGTCAGGCTGCATCTCGAATTAACGCCCAATTAATTACGTCAAGCACTACTCCTTTCACAACGTGTAGGACGAGGGTGGTACTCTGATATAGGCTTCACTAACCACCCCGCATCCTCTCCATTGTATCTACCATAAATTAATCCTTTTGCTGCCGCCAAAAAGAAAAGGACTTAACATAAGGGTGGGTTTAACTGTTGGTTTCTTTTATTATTTTTTTCTTTATGATTCTTGGATGTTTTTTAATTTTCCACACAAACAGTAACCAGATGGACACTGTTGTCGGCCTGCCGCTTCTCCTGAACCTTGACAAGTGTCCAGGGAGAAAATATCCTCTGCGTCATCGAGCTGTATATACATATACATATATACATATATATATATATCCTCCTCTTTGCAGGTCAGAATTTTCTCTGAAATTCTTCTAACCAAAAACAAACTTTTCTCTTCTAACATTCAAACTTAATTGATTTACTACTAATTTCACAATGTTCATAATCACTAATGGGGGTTTGTGTGTCGCTCTTTTTAATTATCTCTCGTTTTTGTTTTTTGGGGGTTTTTTTGTTCGTTTGGTTTTTTGTTTCTTGACAGGCCTTGTTGTAAATCATATCAAATTATATTTTAGAGACTTTTTTTCCCTTTTTATCTTTTACTGTCTATATTTTTCGACATTTTCTGATCTTTGTAAGTCTAATGTTAAGTTAAGATTTAACTATCACTTTTTAATCGTGGTTATAAGGCTTTAAAAATAAGTAATAAGTGGCCGATATAAAGGTTATCATTGCTTTAAGGGTCGGAGGGACGCGGCGTGTCTCTCCGAGTCTCTCTTCTGGAAACACTGAGTTTTACATAGGTGGTGGTGCAGTAGCCACCGAGCCTCTGTAAAACGACGGTCTCGGTGTGGATTATCGACACTGATAGAAAAATGACTGAAAACATTACATTGAGAGCTTTAAAGTGAGCTGCAGACCTGAGTCTGATTAAGGGTGACTTGTTTTGGTTTGTGATCCGTTGGAACACTGTACATTAAGTTTTGGACGTGGACGTTTGCGTGTCGTCGACAGCTCAGGCAGACGCTGAGAGTTCAGCAGCCGCACGATCCACGAGGCTCTGCAGTCTTTTTTTGTGGAGGGAACTAGTCATGTTCACCAAACCTGAACTGTGGTGTGGTGGTTTTGCCTAGATGGGGATAGTGTATTGGGGGGGGGTGTTTGGTTTCTTTTTTTTTCTTTTCTTTTTTTATTAGAAGTACCGTCGTATCTACTTGTGCACAGTATCTGTACCAAATAACTGGATTGATGAGCTGCAGTCTGCCTGTTTTGGGAGGATTGAAATTCTGTCTCTTTATTTTGTTTGCAGTCGTTCGACTGGCTTACCTACTTTAAGATATACCAAAAATATTTGTTAAAATAATTGCTGTGTAGTCGGTGTAGCTTAGTCTAGTCAATATATTTATGAGTACAAAAATCTCTTCATAGTCAGAATATAGAAATGCAATATTTTGATGATCATTTTCCAAAGACTACATTTTCTTTTTTCTTTTCTTTTGTTATTTTGTTTGATTTGACCAAGTGTCTCATATTTAAATTTTTAATTGGCAGCACAACTGACCAAAAAGAGAGGGATTGGTGGGTTGGAGTATGAGAAAGTTTCTTTTTACTTCTATTATTACCATTTTATTTTTTAAATTTAGTTTTTATTAAATCACCGTGGCCTCGGCCCAATGCTTAATCTGGTTTAATGCGAGCCGTTTAGTGGCGCCTTTTCCTTTCTAATCAGTTGTGGTAGCAGTTTTGGACTTTTCTGAAGCATAATGGAAAAGATCTGATTTTGGTTTTGTGCTAATATTCAGCCATAAAACAACAGCTTGAACCAAAGTGGTTTTCCTCAGTAGTTGCTGTGCCTGTCTTGAGCACACAAGTTGCTTTTCACTCTCTTAAATCTCCACAATTTATTTCTTTATTTTTCTCCCTCCTCAGTCGATACCTGATTTTCGTGATTTGGTGCTGCTGGATAAGGATCACAGAAACTTTAGCTTTAACAACTTGCTGCTGAGACTCCTGTCAGAGTTGAGCTGTCAAGACGCCTGCATGCTTTCTAATAGCTTTAAGACTACATCCTGTGAGAATCAGGGTATTGTAGTTCGCACTATCCCTGCTGGAGGGATCACTTATGTAAATCCATAAATACTTCACCTCCTCTCAGCTCCGCCGTTTCAAACCAGCATGCTAGGAAACGATATGCTGCACCCGAAATCTGTCTGGGGACTAGTTTAAAAACTCCCCGAACTTATCTTAGCCAACACAGCGGTGGGATAAGTACCGTTCTGTGCTGCACGTTCAGCTAAACCCCACACAAAAGTAGCATCGTTCTGCTTCAAAATGACAAACACAGCAATTAGTAACTCACTCAGACTGCAAGCAGTGAAATTTGTCCCCGTTCCCCTCTCGTGTGCTTCTTTTCTGTTGAATTATTTTTGACTAAATATACCTCAGCAGCACTTCAAACATAGGTTCACCTTTTAGACATTTCTCTGTATACAGCATTGTAGAATGTATAATTACTGACTGGCTTGCCATTCAGCGTTTATACTGATGAACCATACATAGGAACCATTGCAAGGACAACCTACTACTGCTATTTTCTAGTACTACTATTTATGGGGTATTTGCAGGTTTAAATATTATTTTGAGATCCTTCTTGCCAAAGTAAAAGCCTTTCTCTTTGCAGCTTGGTGGGTGTGTTTTGTTTTTCTTTCTTTCCTTAACTTTGAGGCCACAAGAGCCCTGAAAAACTCAGTCGTGTTTCAGTGCTTGTTTGGAGTTTTGGAGGTTTGCAAGCAACATGAACCAGTTGCCACTGGCACCATAGGATGTTACTGAAATATTTATCTGAGGAAAGACTTAAGAATTAGAGAAACGATCTTTTCCTAATTCTATACATATAAATATATATATAAACACTTGTAAGATATTCATATTTTATATTTGAACCAGTATGTTACCAAGACTGAATGTAGTGTTTATCATACTTCCCCCCCCAGAAAAAAAATCTCCCCTAAGTTTTCTTTTCTTTTTTTTTATTAAACTGTCAAGACCAAAAAATTTGAGATTGAGCTCGAGATGACCCCTCGCTGAACCAGCGACGTCTGTTCGACAGGAGGGGCTCGCTCAGGCGCTCCTGGCAGACAGGTCCTGTGGTTAATAGGAGACTCTGAAGCATTTGATCTTAATCTTTTAATAGATGTATAAATATATATATTTGGTTGAGTTGTTGTGGATTTGATTTGCTGTGTTGTCTTTAACAATCATTTGGTTTTTTTAATGTATTATTTTATGCCTTTAATTGTTTTGTATAGTGTGAGAGGGCAAGATCACTGGCTTTCTTAGTTTGACAAAGAAGATTAACATTATCATTTATGCCTTATTGTTACGTAGAAGACATGAGCATTGTAGCATTGTTGTTCTGTATGTGTGTGAGAGTGAGAGAGAGCATGGGCACCCAGCTCACCTGGTGCATTGTTTTCACTGAAACAGTACAGTGTACTCTGGGCATTTTAGAGCGTGGGACGATTATGTTGCTACCTATGGTTTTTAGGTAGACAGGTAGGAGGATATACCTGTGAGAAAAAGCTTTACTAATAATTCCAGCAGGCAGGTGTGTTTGTGTGAGTGTGTCATTTAAAGAGAGGCCAGGGAGGACAGTCTGCAAACCATTTTGGTGCATCTTTCCCATCTTCCAGCAGGTGTTTAGACTGATTTTTGAAAAAAAAAAAAAGTGTGAGACAAGAGGACTTTGTTTTGTTTTGGGATTTTGTTTGAAGTTTCCTGACTGAGGGTCTTTACAAATTAACTTCAAGCTTTAAGCAAGCCACTGCCGAGAGCCAAGCCAGCTTTCAGTTTGTTTGGGGTCCGCTTGGACTCTCACGAACTGTCTGCTTGCCACTGGCTTTGCTTGTGAAGCTTCGGTTTCAGGTAATCCTGAGATTCTTGCGGATCAGCTGTGCATCTAACAGACGGTATGTTGACCCACCACACTGGTTTGCTGAGAGTTTTGGTTTTTTGTTTGTTTGTTTTCTCCTTTTACTAAATGTCAAAGGTTGCGTGGCGCACCAGTAAGGCTAAAGGAGCTGTTGTATACCTCATTTTTAACTCAAGATTGAGTGAAACCTGCTTTAATCTACTTATGAAACAAATGTTTTTAAAAATCATAAAAAAAAGACTAAAATACACCAACTTGTCAGTGGAGAAGCGTGTTCATACCTGTACTTAGTGAAGGGTTGTGGAGCCGCCACAAGAGGGAGACGAACTACATACCAGTACTCACAAAGAGGTGTAAACAAGAGAAGGCATAAAAGGTGAATCTGTGTGTAACAAGGGGCAAACATCTGCTGCTCTTCTTTCACAATTTCTTGTGCACTGAAGGATTTCATTCATGAAAATGTGAATTTTGATGAATTCTATGGACACCCCCCACCCCACCCTTTTTTTTGTTTTTTTTTTTAGTTTGACAATCTTGCTTTATTTATTTTCTCACTCTTGGCTTGGTACAGGTATGTGCACTTCTTCCCACGTGATGGCTCGCCGTCGCAGCCCGCTCTCGCTCCCCTGTGGTACCAACGATAACCAAAGAATTCTTACTAACTTGATTGTATGTGATCGGCGCCGCCTCTCGCCCATCCCCGCCTCACTGCTCAACATCAAATCCCGGCTGCACGCCCCTCGATTCGTTTGTAAAGAGGTTGTTTTTTGTTTTGTTTTTTAAATTGCATTCGAATGTGCGTCCGGCGCCCCCTTCGACGCCTCTGCAGTGGTTTCAGTGCCTGTGGGCGGGGATCGGAAGGGAGGGGTAGCAGGGGCCGGGCGGGCTTCGCCGGCAGACACGAACCAATGCGGTGGTAGCTGGGTGATGTTTGTTAATACACACTGAGGGTTGATCCTGTGCACACTGTACCTGCTCAGGACTCTGTATGATTGTCTGTCGTGAGCGCTGTTGTCGTTTGGTTGGTTGGATTGATGTCCCACCCTCCGTCGTTCCTTTCTCAAGGACTGCGGCGAAAAATGCTATTCCTGCCTCTCAGTCCATCTCAGTCTCTCTTCCTCATCTGTACACTGTAGTCCCAGGACATGACCCTGTTGTTGTCTCCAGGAATACACATCCTGCATTCGCTAAAACTCTGCTGTGTCCCCTTCCCTGTCCTCCTCCTCCTTCCTCTCCCTTTCATCTGCTCTCTTCTTTGACTCCTCACTACAGACTCTGATCAGCTGTGACACTATGCATCATGGTCCTTCACTTTGCATGGACTGTGTCCCTCTGACTCAGACCTCCTGGTCGGCAGGGCTTCAGTGACACTTTGTTTAATGCTTTACTCCAAGTGAGGTTGTAGGACCTCACAAGCGCTATCCCAAAGCAAAAATCCAAATATTTAACTTTTGACAAATGCAGATACCAAAGATATCTCTCTGTCCTGTGTGTGTCTCTGTTGGTTTCTCTCTCTCCCTTTCACCCTGCAGCATGTGTATTAAGAGACAAACCCAGCACTGGCTTTAAAGTCCCAGCCTCAGTAATTCCAAAGCTTAGATGTATATTTTGGTATATTTCTGAGAAAAAACTTGCGTGAAAAAGCGTCTGTTCCTCGTTTGTTTGTTGTAATCTCTTTTCTGTCACAGCA